ACATTTCACCCACTCCCAAAAGAGCACATTTTGAGGGGCCTTTGTGGGTCAAATCACAAGGGCCAGTCTGCCATCTGTGGGGGTCCTGTGTCCAGGCCCTCCCCCACCCCCTTGTGTTACCCAACAATTGCTCCCCCTGTTGCCATTGGCCACCAGGATGGGCTCTGTGACACCAACAGGACTGGGCTCTTTGGGGGGGGCTGCCTCAGGGACATCAGGTGGACATAAGCCTCCCCAACACCAATGAGCTCCCCCTCCCACACCCCCAATCCATCCCCAACCCAATCCCCCTCCCAGTCCCGCTCCAACCACATTGTCCTCCCTTCCAGTCAGCAGCCCTACCCCAGCCCTGCAGGCTCACTCCCTCCTGCCTCCCCCACCCGGGGGTCTTCCTCCCGCCCACCCTCTCACCCTGCCACCCCAAACACCTCTCAGCCCTCTTCCCGGACTTCCTCCCTGACCCCGAGTCCTCACATCCAACATGTGGTCCGGACTCCACCGGCCTCCAAATCCCCCTCCCTGTCTGGCTTTAAGTCCCTCTCTAGAAACCCTTCCCTGACCCCCTCGGTGCCGCTGGGCAAGTCCCCCTACCAAAGCCCGGTCCCCTCGTCCTCCTACATCGGGCCCTCCGCCCCGAGCATCCCGTCCTGCATCGCTCCCTACGTGCCCCGCTTCCTGAACGAGGCCCCCTTCTTCCAGCCGCCGACATCACCGCTCCCCCAAAACCAGTGCTTCCCCTGCACCAAGACCAGGGAGCCCCCGCCTATGCCCGACTCCTTCTACCTGCCGCTGCTGCCGCCGCCCCCGCTCCCGCCGCAGACCTCGTGCACCTACCCCACGCCGCCCTCGCTCTTCATCCCGCCCAGCTCGCTCTCCTACTCCCCGCCCACCGAGGTGCTGCTGAGAGGGAAGCCGCACGTGGTGCCCACGGTGCTGCCCGCCACCTTCTACACCCCCTTCTCGCGCTACTACTCGCAGCCCCGGCCCTACTACCGCACCTATCGCCGGAACCTCAGCTCCACCTTCTTCCCCTCGCTCTCCCCCTTGCCCTTCGACGGTTCCGGGCGCTCTGTCCACTTCTATCGTGGGTCCTAGGCCTCGCACCTATTTTGGACCGGAAGCCTCTGCCAGTAAATTCAAACTGCTGCACCCAGAATTCATCAGCTACCTGACAAAGAGGTACGGGGATGGGGTGACGGGCGGAACACCAGCTCCCTTTCCTCGCCCACACCTACCACGGGTGAGGGGTCCACGCAGTCGGTGCTCCCCAACTCCCCCGCAGAGCCAGGCACTTTGCCATGGCATTTACTCCTTTGCTTGCTACCTTGATGGAGCAGTCAGTCGACAGGCAATGGCAGAAAACTCAGGATAAGCCCAGGAAATTTATTTCCCAGGGACCCTCACACAAAGGCACAGGCCCCGCGTACCAAGGAGCCAGCTGTGCAGAGGTAGGGGGTATTAGCAACAGCAAACCCAGCCAGCTGAAAGCCACCACTGGAGGAATCTGGGGAAGAAAGGGCCTGATCTCCTTCTCTCCCTCTCTCCTCCCAGTGGTTCTCAACAGAGGGTGGGGTAGGGTGGGTACTTGGTCCTGTCTGAAGACATTTTTGTCTGTCACAGGAGGGGGGTCAGGTGAGTGCCATTAGTGGGTAGAGGCCAGGGCTGCTGCTGAACAGGAAGTGCACAGAATGGCCCCTGCAATAAGAACTACCCAGCCAGGCAGGCTGGTGCACTGCCTGTGATCCCAGCGTTTCCCAAGGCTGAGGGAGGGTGAAGCAGGAGGATCGCAAGTTCAGTGAGCCTTAGCAACTTCTCAAAATACAATAAAAGGCTGGGTGCGGGTAGCTCAGTGATTAAGCACCCCTGGGTTCAATTCCCAGTACCCAGAGCAGGAGGTGGGGGGACTATGCCATAAATGTCAACGGTGCCATAGTTGAGAAACCCTGAAGTAGCCCAGAGGCAAGCATCCCAGGACAGAGTGGAGAAGGGTAGCCAAGTGCATCTAGGGAGCCCCACAGAAACCACAGCAGTTATATGCCCATTCTGCAGGTCATATGAGTGTGGGCACCATCACACCAGTGAGTCCAGACACAGGATCTGAGCTCCCACCTCACTCATTCCTGAGTGATCAAGATGTGGGGTAGAGAAAGGGCTCAGGCTAAATGAATAGGCTGCTTATGTCCTAGGCTTTGTGGTTACCTAACAATAGGAGCGGAAATAAGGTGTTGCCAGTGGGGAAAGGCGGAAAGATCCTACCTGGGTTTCCTTTCTCATCTTCCCAACTCCTGCCATGAGATCCTTGAATTTTGGAATTTATTTGGCTTTTTCCCAAAAATGGGGAATTGATTGGGTAGAAGGACCATATGTTGTTTACTTGTTTGAATGGGTAGCTGTGCAGTATAGTTAGTGGTGCAATCTGAAGCTAACAGACAACAGTTGAATGTTTCTCGGGTTTTAATACCTTTTTGTTTGTAGGTTTTTGAAATCAAAATTGATGAACACAAACTTCGGAGACCTATATATGCCCAGTACTGGGGCCCTCATGCTGCTGACAGCTTTGCATACTTGTGACCAGGTAAGGAGCCTGAGGCCACGGAGCAGAGATTTGAGCAGAACTCAGTATGACTCCCAATAGTCCTTCCCTGAGACCTGGCCACCTAGATAGGGACTCCAGGCCACCATCCCACAGTGAAAGGATTCCCCAGTGCAGGAGTGGCACTATCAACCTGCTTGCACACCTGCTCCCCAGGGTCCTCCCCAGGAAGGGCCTGAGTCAGCTTTGCCTTGAACCGTGCAACCACCTGCCCCAGCACTTCTTTCACACTAAATCATGCTGCTCTTCTGAAAGCAGAATCTTCTCAACCAGGAGGTCCTCTTGTGGGGACACGCTGGAACTGACATGGGACAGGTGAGCAGGTTCAGTGTCCCACACATAAAACATACTGAAGTGAACAGCAGAGGCTGAGCAGTTTTCGAGACCCTGGTAAAGCCAGTACAAAGGCTAGAGGCCAAACTCCACTCTGGTCCCACATATTTTCCCTATTTTAATATAGAAGTCTCTTGATTGCAGTCACTATTAATTCCTGAATCAGCCTGAACTTGAAGATCATGGCTTTAGTCACACCAAAGTTTCAAACCCAGCTTTGCCTTAAGTGAGTGGAGGGAGAGATGTCTCCACTTCCTTGCTTGTTCAGGGGGATAACTTATCTTGAGGTCTTAATGCTGGGGTGAGAATGTGTAGGAAAAAAGTGCCCCTGTGAGCTGTGTTTACCTGCATCTGCACCTATGCACCCGTGTGGGCATGCAGCAGACCTTTCTGAGTTCATACACCTCCAAGCATCAACAAATACTAACTCAATAATGGTTTTATCCAGGTCAGTGCCTATGGATTCATCACAAAGAACTACCAGAAATATTCTGACCACTATTTCGAACGAGTAAAGAAGCCACTGATATTCTATGCAAACCATGATCTGCCCCTGGAAGCCGTTCTGTGGAGAGACCTACATAAGGCTGGCATCCTTTGGCTGTACCAGCGCTGACCCCAAAGCACAAAGCCTTCTGCTTCTTGCAGGGCTGTGACCCTGGCCAAAAGCCCTCCCCCCTTTTTTTCAACCTTTGAGAAGGGGGTTCACTCCCCCTGACCCTCTACTTCCCAACAGAAGATACTGAGGTGAACTCGTGACTGTTACTAAAAGGAGGGCACCCTATCTTACCATCTAAAGGAAAACCCTCTGGGTCTTAGACATCCCACTTTGGTTAAAGGAAAGCAGACTGCTTTGCTGGATTTGTTTCAAAATTGAAGACAACATTCCCAACATCAGTGACCCTTACCAGCAAGAGGCAGGCACACCTTGGAGCTAAGCAACAGCCAACAGACTTAGATCAATGATGCCATTCAGGATCCATCAGTAACCAAGATCAAGCCAGACAAGCAGGCAAACACACAATCCCAGCCCCAACTCACCCCTAATGGCATGTCATCCCCAAACACCAAAGCCACTCAACTGAGGACATCTCAAGCACCTGAGACCATGATTTTTCTGCCCCCTGATAAAGTGTAAGAGCAAAAGGCAAAAGTAAAACTCAAGACTAGGTTAACTGCATAAATGAATGACCATTTTGTCTTGTGCTGGGGGTTGGTAGAGAAAGTACAGAAGATGCTGGTGTTCAGCACGAAGTTTACCAGAGTCCAAGAACAGGAGATACTGGTGTTTGATGGGGGTCAACTGCACAGAAGCCTGCCTGCCACTGCCACCAATGCTGAGGATCTTGTCACCAACAGGATGACACTACTGGTCATGAAACCTCATCCTCACATCATGGCTTCAATAAATTTGAACCTATCTAGCTCATAAGCAGTTTCATAATTTTATGGGCTTTTAAGTGATTTTAAGTCGCACCCAACAGCCCCTAACCAAGCCCTGATACTAGACACAAACTAGTGGCTTTAGATCACTTAGTAGGCTGCACTGCACATGGAGCAAGAGCTGTTGCCAGCAAATGCTGGCAACTTCCCAAGGTAGCCACTGCCTACAATGGCCAATCCACCAAGGCCAGGTTTCTATGGTTTTGGGAGCTTGATTTTATTCTCTCAAGAGGGATGAAAAACTCGGTCACCACACACAATAGCATTCAGTAATCCAGACATCTGATCAACACAATTGACAGGTGGGCTTTAGTTACAAGGCAGCTACCACTGCTTGGAGCCCAGGACTAGAGGGAAACAACATTTCAGTTACTGGCATCAGGACAAAACCTCCTGGTTGGCCTTACCTCCAGGAGAGTGGTATGATCCTTTGACAGAATACTTGGTTTGGAAGGAAGTCAAACAGGGGAATATATAAGGTACCCTGACAGTCACAATCCATTCTGGTGTCTTACAGTGACCTAGTGATGATCACTACCACTAATCTGATTAGCTTGGTAACCGAGCACTGCCCTGACACCCAAGATTATAGTACTTTCCCCGTGCCCACCGACCCTCTAGATGCCAGTAGTACCTTTATCAGTGTTTTATTAGATTTAAGGTAAAAAAAGCAATGTTTGTGGGTGGCAATACATGCAGTATATCATCACTTTAGCAGGTACAAATATAGAAAAAAAAAAAAAAAAAGATCAAATTCTGTGAAACTCCTAAGAATGTTCTCTTGAATCATAGAACAAATAATGTTCTTACTTTGTGTCTCAATCTGAAATCCACATTGCTAGTGAATAAAAAATACAACAAAACAGAACCTTTAATTGTGCTTCAAAATTTTAAACAATGACTTCACAGGAAATCCACTGAGAAATGCTTTTTGAGGACAAGCATTGTTTCCCCTTAGCTTCCTACAACAATGTATGCACATTAACAATTTCAATTTACAATCACCGAAGTCCCATCTATACATGAGATTATACTCAGACCACCTAAACTGAAGTCCAGATATTTTTAGTTATACCCCAACTTCACTAGCTGCTAAAAGTGGTGATGGTGATCTCAGTCACTCAAATTCCTTGGCTATTTTTGAGGATGAAATCCAAAAAAATTCTTATGATTCTATCTGGGTGGGATTAACTCATAGGCATTAGCAGAAGCAGGACCGTGCAGATCCCGTCTGGCACCACGGGGAGATAACCTGTAAAACAGAACAATTTCCAGTAAACAGCCAACTAAGTGCGTCACAACCAAACATTAAAAGCAAAAGGCAAACAGTCTAAGAGGATTTGTTCTAGCCATTATGTATTGGGCATATGTATACTGGGGGAGCACAAGAACTATCAAAAGTTTTAACGCAGGCTGGTGAGATTCTAAGAGGACTCATTTTAAGGAGCCAGTGTCTAAGGAGGGCGGCCAGAAAAGACTCCCACTAAACAGCAGGGATATTTGCATCCAACTCCCTCTGAATCTCAAGGTTTACCCAGGTTGGTTGAGCCCCCTGGAAGCACATGATAACAATGTGGATCTTCCCACCTGCTGACCCACTCCTTCACTTTGCTTTACTTGGCAGGTTGTAAGCAGCTGGGGCCAGTTTTCAAGCTTGTTAAATCTCACCCCAATCGAGACTGCCCTGGTAACTGAACAAAAATATGACCTTAAAGATCAGCTCTCCAGTTTCAACAGAAGAGAAAATCTGGGTCCACTTCAAGCCTGGCATTTAAAAGGAAACAAAGGCAGAATCACCCCCACAGTACCACTTTGCTTTTTTCTTGCTCATGTGCCAACCTCTGCTGCCCAAGCAGTGGCCCAGTGCCAGCCATGCCATCCAGACAGAATCTCAGCTACAGGAAGAAGGGCTCCCTGGTGGTGTTAACAAAGCACAGGAAACCAACAGTTCTGCCAGGGCCATGGCACTTTTCTTTCCTAAATGTCAGGACACTGCTGCAGAGGCAAGGTCAGTAATTAAGCATTCTCACTGCCACAAGCTGGCATATATTTTACATTCCAGTTTCAGTTTCAAAGGGCACATTCATTTCCTTGAAATATGTGGTAGGCACTCTTCTCCTTCACAGTAAGTCCTTGCCCATTTCTGTAGTCTTACAGAGTCTGTGCCTTCAGAGCTATCACCGAAAGGGACAGACATTAACAGGGCAACTAGACCTTTAGTCTGAACATCTGATCTGTAGACTGGAGTCTCAGCAGGGCACACACAACTCCCTGCACTGTCCACTTGATTTGATCCTTGTAAAGCCTGAACTACTACTGGAACATGGAGCCACACCTTAAGCCTCAGAATAGATTATTTTCCCTCAATCGAGATTTTCAGACAGGGATAACTAACCATCATAGGCTTGTGAGGCTTCTTAGGAACACATAAGATAAAACAATTTACAAACAGGAGAGGAACTGTTTTACTTGCCTTCTGGTAAAGCAGTTTACAGTTAGTAACCTCGCTGAGTAGACACCTAGCAATGAAAACAAAAGTATGTTAAAGACTCCCTGCTACTTAGCACCTTCCCAAGTCCAGGGCAGGGGAGACAAAAAAAGAGCTAACCCTTCACCCAAGCATGTGCAGCAGGACTTCTCTGCTTACATGAGAGATTCCACTTGGGGTTCAGGTCCATGGTGCCTGCCACAATGTGGCTGCTAGAGGGTCCTTTTCCAACTGAAGCAGAGACTGCACCTGGTGAGGAAGAGAAATTGGAAAAAAAGAAAACTACTGAAGAATATGTAAACAGAGTACCTCTAAAGTAGTTCTCTTTAAAATCATGAACTTCTCATAAGGCAAACTTGCAAAGCTGAGTTTCAGATATCCACATTCCACACAGAAAGGCCTTTCCTTGCCTTCAGACAGGGATAACTTGACATCATCATGAACTCAGCTCACCAATCTGCTAGCCCACAGTACTGCCCACCAGAGCACACGTCAATGATTTCTTATTAAGTCGTGCTTTACTTCCCTCATGAGAACTATCCATCAATTTTGTCTACTTTATTAGAGTATGCTTTCCTTCCATGGCAAAAATTTTTAGTATTTGGTGTCTGGATGCAGCCAGTGTCCCAGACCTGGCTCAATGACAACTCCTGCCCTTATAAAAAGACTTAAGCAGAGTGCTTCACAGCTGAACAAGAGGCAACATTCAATTGTCTCTCTAGGACATCAGTAAAATGCCTAGTAGGTGCAGATCACTCATCCTTTCAACTAGCCTATTGAGGACCAGCTGCATAAACAGCTCCTACTGCCACGAGATGACAATACCACACAAGGTCATTTCTCCTTCATCCATCTGCATGTACAAAACTATCCTGCAGAGCAAGCATGTGGCTTTCAGTTTTTTAAGATAGAGGATTAGACATCTGCCCCACAAGCTACTTAAAAATAGCCATCACTATAATCTTGCTGTAATAAAATCCTTGAGCTCAAAGCAGATCAGAGCATCTAACTGTTCCTACACACCTGCTCTGGGACTGGCTACATGACTCTTGGGACACCCTCTAGAGTCATTCTCATCCATGGCTGGTGTGGGGCCCAGAAATGTGTACATTCTAACACTATGTAGGTGGTTTTGACATATAACTAGGTTTGAAAACCATTAACCCTGTTTTAAAAGAAGCGCCATAGTGCTTTTATTTGGTATCAAACCAAGACTGGAACCCAGACCTCTAGTTAATCTAACAGTTTCTCAATCTTAACTCTACTGACATTTCAGGTGGAAGTTCTTATATGGGCTGTCTATGCTTTGTAGGATAGTTAGCAGCATCCACCAGACACCAGGTGCACCCTCCATCCTCAGTTGAGAGTCAATGATACAACTAAGTCAAAAAATAGTTATGGGGCTGAGGTTTTAGCTCAGTGGTAGAGCGCTGGCTAGCACGTGAGAGACACTGGGTTCAATTCTCAGCACCACATATAAATAAATGAAATGGTTTTTCACTTTGGACAGAACTCCCTAAGCCTGTTTATTTACTCAGCAGCAGATTGTGTGTATGGAGGGGTCTACCTCACACAGGTTGTTAATACAAATACCAATTCTGAGACTTTTAGGCAAAAAATAATAATAATAATAATAATTATTATTATAATCAAGCAGAAAGAATTTCATACTATTTCCCTTGTCTGGGCAACTACAATCCTGAAGACTCCCACATCCCCAAATCCAAAAGACCAGTAAGTACTTAAAGGGGACCATAACCTGTGCAATTCTATCAGAGCTAAAATCTTACCATTTACAGAAATTTCATCACAAAAATTCTTAAGGTCAATATTTTAAGATGATGGGTTTCACAAGTCCACAGCCAATACCATGGATCTAAAAGAGAAATAAGGATGTCATAGTTCATTCTAACAGAAACTACCTTCAGGCATTTATTTTCAAAAAGCTGAGCCTCAGTTAAGTCAGAACTCTTCACAAAAGATGTCACTTCAGCCAGGGATAACTTATGTCCTCCTCAGCTCAACCAGTAACAGATTCCTAAATCCCAGCAACCAAAACTTATTTTCCAAGTCTGTTTCATCCCCATACACAATGCCATCCATGTTGACTTCAAACAGTGACACCTAGTGGCCTCATATTACAGTAGCACAGACCCTCCCCATTTCTACTGTAAAGGGACTTTACTTAGTCACCCTGTACTCACAGTTCAACTTAACTTCGAACAACTTATGAGGTGGATGTGCCGGGACATCACGCCATCTCTGCTTTCTGGTGACCACCCCCAGGTCCTGCTTGCATCCATCTCTTCTCATTTTGCGGTTCCGTTACTTTTAAACTGCAACCTGCAGCTCTGCTTCTCATCTCCCCAGAAGCTAGAGAAAGGCTTTCAAAAATGGAAACAAAGTTTCGTTATCAAAACTAGATTTCCAGCCAGGCGCGATGGCGCACAACCCTAATCCCAGCGAAGGACGGGTGGGGCGGTGTTAAGGCATTAGGATGGCAAATTCGGGTCAGTTTCTGCGAATTGGCAAGATCCCGTCTCAAAATTTTAAAACGAGTGAATAAAAAAAGCTAAAATAATGTAGCTCAATAGTAAATCCCTCTGGGTTCAATCCCTGGTACTGGTAAGAAAAAAATAGTATAACCAGATTTCCAAAGTCTACAATCCCTTTCACTACCATTAGTAAATAAAAACGACTGCCTGGGTGTTCTCAAGGCTCTCAGGGCAAGGGTGCATTCCCGCGCTCACACTCCCGAGGCCGAATGCTGCAGTGCCACGCGCCTAGCCTGCCCCCGGGCCTAACCTGTCCACAGCTGGACAGGGAGCCCGACAGGCCCAGGGCAGCCGGGCGCGCGTGCTCAGCACGAAGGTGGACGCACGGGGTCGCGCAAACTGCAAGGACCTCCCTCTCCCAGGAGGAACCCTGCGACGCCAAAAACGGGGTTCAGCTCTCGTCCTTCCCAATTTCTCGCCGTTTGGGAGGCATTTCCTCGTACAGAACCTCAACCCTACCACCACTCCGTGAGAGGGAGGCCGGGCTGATGGTCACCACTTCGCCTCTCTGTGCTACCCCGGTGTTGAAGAAAGCCACGTTTTCCCACCTCCGCAACCTTATCATCACCCAAAGCCTAGAAGGCTGCTCAGCGGTGCTGCGCCCAACCGTGGCACCATGCTTCCCAGACACGCGGCGGATCGCTGAAAGAACGCGAGACCGCGCCTGCGCGCAACTCTCCCCCGCGGCCTCGCCGGAGCTCTCGCGAGGTTAAGGGAGGCGGATGGGAAATGTCGTTCTCTCGTTGCCGACCGAGCCGCGGTAAGACGGAGGCCGCCACGAGGGGCAGCAGAGGGCGCGGGCTGGGAACCCTGGTCCCTGGCGGGCCCCGCGGTCGGGTGGCAAAGGTAGAGGTTGCTGAGCTGCGCCGTGCGCTAGAGGTCCCGGGCCGAGGCTGGGGAGGTGCCGGAAGTTCGAGGGCAGGACCGAGAAGGACGAAGAGGCCCGGCCGCATTGCATTTCTCCCGGCGCCGCGGACTGTGTCGTGCGGCGGAGGGGGGTCGTTTAGGGTGGTCCGTGGGGCGAGGCCTGGCGCTGGGGATGGCCTGGACTCCGCGAGGGGAGACGGAAAGCCTCAGATTACTATGAAAAGAGCAGAAACGTCGTAACACCCTCTGCTCTGGTGTCCTTTTCAGTCAACCACCCTGGCTTTTTCTAAATTTTGGAACAGGGGCTTGCTAAGTTGTCCAGGCTGCCCTCGAACTAGCGATCCTTCTGCCTCAGCCTCCTGAGTCGGGACCCTCTGCGCCTGGCACGCAGTTTCATGTTTGAGTAGGGCAGACCGAGCCCTGGAGTTAGGGCCAGAATTTATGCCTATTTGGAAATGAGTTTGAATTTGCAAGACCCCAGAAATCTTTATGCATTTTCCTCTTCCCGTTCTTACAAACCTATTAGCAATCATCTCTGTAGCATTTAGCCTTGACTATTTTGTTCTGTAGGTGGTAATTTGTTGCAGGTGTTTATTTTCAAATTACAGTATGTATTTGTCTACCTCTGTTATTTGATTCTAAGTTCTTAAAGGGAGGGAGAAGTATCTTTTAATTTTTTTTTTCATTTACTTTTTTTTCTGGCGGTGGGGGTGGGCAGCAGTACTGGGAATTGAACCCAGGGGTGCTTTACCACTGAGCTACATCCCCAGTCACCATCTTCATCATCCTCTTTCTCCTCTTTCACATCCTCCTCCTCCTTCTAGTTGTTTGAGACAATGTCTAAGTTGCTGAGCCTCTCCTTAAATTGCTGAGGCTGGCCTGGAACTTGCAAACTTCCCGTCTCAGCCTCCCAAATTGCTGAAATTACAGGTGTGTGTTACCTCGCCTGGCTAATCTTTTTTTTTTTTTTTTTTTTTTTTTAATTTCCTCATAATACTGGCTAATCTTTTTTTTTCTTTTTAATTTCCTCATAATACTGAATATAGTGTTCAGTTGCTCTTGCTCATACTAACAAACAATGATTTTTAACTCATCCTGCAGAAATTTTGGCCTTTTGGTTTCTCCATCTTACCCTTGAAGACAAATTATTTTGTTTATTACTGAAAGGAAGAATGTGTTCTTTCCCTGCAAACTAAGTTCCTTTCATGTGAAACTTGCAGGGAGAATCGTTTTTGCCAAAAGCTGCTTGTGAAACTAGTGGTCAAGTGATCTGCCTCAGGCAATACTGGTAGTTGTTTTTTTTTGTTGTTGTTGTTGTTGTTTGTTTGTTTTTAAAGAGAGAATTTTTAATATTTATTGTTTAGTTTTCGGCAGACACAACATCTTTTATTTGTATGTGGTGCTGAGGATCGAACCCAGCCCCGTGCGCATGCCAGGCAGGCACGCTACCTACCACTTGAGCCACATCCCTAGCCCCAATACTGGTAGTTTTGAAATTTCATAGTGTTTACTGGATGCATTCACTACATCAAGGTCTTTATGTATACTAACTCATTTAATCCTTACAGTTGCACTGTGAAATACTTCTCACTATCCCGTTGTACAGATGAGGAAACAGAAGCATGAGGTAACTTGCCCCAAATTCACACTACTAACTGGAAGAGTCAAGAGTCCCAGTTGTTCTGTACCATGAATGTGTTGATCTAACATATAAGAACTTTTCATTTGGGGAGCCAAAGGGAAGAGAAGAAAAATTTGTTTGTGTTTGCAGGAATGGTTGGGGACAAATCAAAATGTTGAAAAGAGGATGCTGGATGCCTGCTTTATTGTTTTGAGCCACTTGGTGGCACAAAATGTGAGAATGAGAATCCATAGGAACTAATTTGTAAAGACTGTGAGGCTCTGGGCTCTGGCAGGGCTGTCTTTGTCCCCAGGCTAGTTGCCACTCAGTTTGCAGTGAGGACTGGTCTTGAAAGCACTTCACTCTGCCAAAGGTCAATGTGTAGCTTTCACACCTGAGAGGGCACAGCTTCTCCTGCAGAGCACGGTTGTGCTTAGTGGAACAGCAGCAGGCTCAAAACCAAATGGCACAGATAGTAACTAAGGGGCTGGAGCAAAATATAAGAGCCCTGGTGCCTGAGCATGTGTGAGGCACAACTTTATAGGCAGTGCGGGAATAACTGGGGAAACTTCAAAGACAGCATCAGAATCCCTGAATGAGCAGCCAAGGGCAGACCTGCTGAGACTGGAGTGTTAATGCTACTATGATCTCATTTGCACTCTTTGCTAGTGAGATCTGGTACATTTGAGTTTTACAGTCAGTGGAATTGTTATATAGCCATTATACAAGACTAGGGTAGATCTATATTTATTGGCATGGAAAGAGATGCCGTCTGGAGACAAGTGACAGAAGTAGATCAAGTAGACAAGCTGAACAAGGCAGGAGTCCCCAGTGCTGTTGAGGCTCTGAACGCAAAGGGAAAATCTAGTCAGCTGGCCTGCTGTGCTAGGGTGACAACTGATGGGATTTAAGATGAGGTATCTGAAACCCACAGTAATAAAAAACAGAGTCTTTACAACATCAAGATTGACTTCTTAATCAGGAAAGGAATCTTTAATTTTATGAATAAGAACATGAAGGAGGATAGGTGGAATCCCAAACAGATGGCTGCTTACACTTGGAGCAGTTGCACTGGCAATTTCATAGGAAGTACACCTGGACACGGGCACTATCAGGAGCCGTCTGGAAGCTGTTCTTCCTCCATCAATTGCAGTGCAATTCTGGTCAAGTTGGGAAAGTATTGCTTTTAAATACGGTAGCTTCTCTTCTGGCTTTAGGACATAGTAAAGATGTGATGCTGAGTATTGCTGCAGACATCTTGCATCCATGAGGCTTCTTCAAAGTAAGAGTCAAAGGCCTGTGAAGACAGAGTGGAAAGATGCCATTGAACTGCTGAAATAGACATTCCTTAAACCCCTGACCTTCAGATCTCCTGTTTTGATTCAGAGACACATTTTTACATTTTAATACTTCTGAATGTAGGATGTGTCTTCTGAGCAATTACATCTTAGATTTGGTGAAATTCAGAATGTGAGATTTTAAAAGGAAATTTTGTTTAAGTCATTTTAAGTTGGGTATCTGTTAGAGTCAAAATCATCCTAAATGATATTGATATTTCCCATATCTTCTTTATATATACAATGATAGTTCCCTGGAAGAGTGGATCATGACAAAATACATAAAACAATTTGACATGTGCAAGTTGCCGTCCTGAAGCAGCAATAGCTCACATACGTGAGGTGTTTACTCTGTGCCAGGGATGCGTGGCACCTTTCATATGCTGTCTTATTTGAGTCTCACACAGCCTGTCACTACCCCCTCACCACTTTGCAGCTGAGGAAGCCAAAGTGCAAAACGGTTAAAGGAATTTTTAAGTGAAAGCATTGAGATCTGAACACAATCTGACCGAAAGCTGATGGTCTCAATCACTACTATGGTTTGAATGCTGAATATCCCCCAAAGGCCCATATGTTAAGGCTGGGTCCTGAGGTGGCTCTGTTGGGAGGTGATGGGACCTTAGGATGTGGGACCTTGTGGGAGGTCCTGAAGTCCCTGGGGGCCTGCTCATGAAAGCAATTGTGGGACCCAAGCCTCTTCCCCTTTCTCTTTGCTTCGTGGCTTATGCAGTTTGCTTCACCTTGCACCTCCATAAAGCGCTGCATTAATAAGTTTTGCCTGTCCTAGAATTCCAAAGCAAAGGGTGCTCCTGATCTTGGACTAGATCTTCCAGAGCCACGAACCAAAATAAAATTGTGTGTGTGTGTGTGTGTGTGTCTGGGGTTTGAACCCAGGACCTTGCAAATGAGAGGTCAGTGCCCTACCACTGAACTACTTCCAGCTGCTTTTCTCTTATAAGTTAACTATCTCAAGTATTTTGTTATAGTAAAGCTGACTAACAACCACCACGCTGTGTTTCCTAAAAAAATTATGCTATGACAATGGAATGTTTTTGTCTAACTGCAGTGATTTCAATTTATCCACTTAGAAAGCCCATCATAAAAAAGGAGGATTTTTTTCCCGAGAACCATGAAATATTGCCACAAATCCTGCTCAGCAAAAATCCTGTAACATTGAATGTAGCTTTAAGTTTCTGGAGGAAGAGAAATATAACAACATGTGCCCCATTTATTGAGAATAGACAACCTTAGATTTGTGGATTATTTCTTTGTGTTCATGAACAGTTCAGAAAGAAAAGTAGTTCATTTCACCTGCCTGCTCTGCACAGCCATTGCCTTTAATAAATGTGTTACTTTAAAAATGGATTTAAAAAATAAAAATAAATTTGAAGAGTCTGTAATATTCTCCGGATCTCATCTGCTGTTCTCTGAACATGTCTCTCCATTCCCGGAAACCTCTGCCCTTTCACAACTTTTGCATAACCTTTGCTGATGGTGAAGTTTGTTCCCTTCGCCTTGAAATTCCCTTCCCCTCATCTTCTTCTCTGTGTGGTAGATTCCAACTCAGACTTAAATTCCTCCTCTGCATAGTTGTGGCTGCGATGCTGCAGCAATCCCCAAGCTGCTTCCTCATGGTGATACCTTTCTTGTCGCAGGTGGTTGAGTACAGACTCTGCAATCAGGCCAACCTGGAGGAAAGTCCCAGCTCGATAATTCTAGCTGAGTAGCCTTGGACACATTACTTTATCTGTCTCTAAGTCTCTTTTCTCCCATATAATGTGAGGGGGATGATCATCCGAACCTTAAGGCTGTTTTAAGACTGCATCCAGAGCACTGGCACAGGCCTGCACAAGGTGAGGCAGCTCACTTTGAACAGGGCAGTTCCTGTTGGGGTGTACTTCCTCTAACACTGACCCTGCCATTGATGATTGTTTGTTTTCATGTCTGGCATTTCTGCTAGACCGTAGGCAAGACAAGGATCTGGTCTTCATTCTTGTTTTGTGTTTAACTAAGTCATCTTTATTGAGGCATAACGTACACATAATGAAATGCATCTGTTCAAAGTGTACGTTAAAGTCCAATAAGCATGCATCCATGTAACCACAGCCGCAATCAAGATTTAGAGCATATTTGCCACCCTTTTACAGCCCTGGCCTGAGTCAGCCAGTGCTCTGCATTCTGTCACTATCAATTAGTTCTGCCTGTCTTAGAATTCCATAAATACAATCATATGAGAGGCATTCTTCTGCGTCTGGCTTCTCAATTTACCCATGTTGTTGCTTACATCCGTCGTTCATTTCCTTATTATTGCTGAGTATTAGTCCATTCTATTAACATACCTCAATTTATCCTTTCCATATTGGAGGGTATTTGGGTTGTTTCCAGTCTGTAGCTACTATTAATAAACTTGATGTGAACATTTTTGTAAAATTTGTTTGTGGATGTGTTTTTTCATTCCTCTTGGATTACTTTATAAGAAACCGCCACACTGTTTCCCCCAGGATATTATAAGATTACAGTTGCTCCGCATCTTGGCCTGTGGTCAGCCTTCAGTTGTGCTTTTGATTTGCATTCTCTTAATGATTTAGATGCTGATCTTATGTTTATTGATCTTGGTTTATTGGCCAATATTTTTTAATGTAGTGGCCATTAAAACCTTCCCCTTTCCCATTTAAAAAAATTGTGTCGTTATTATCAAATTGTAAAAGTTCTTTATATATTCTGGATGCAAGTCTGTTTGCAAATATTTGTTTGGCATATATTTTCTCACAGTCTTTCCAAGAGCAGAAGTTTAATTTTGATAAAGTCCAACTAATTGGTTTTTATTTTATGGTTAGTGCTTTCTGTATCCTATTGAAAAGACCTTTCTTTCTTCTTGGGATCACCTTTCTTGCTTCTGTTTTTGGATTCCATTGATGTATGCATATGTCCTTATGAATATCACACATCTTGACCTCTGATCTAGCCTGTCCCCTACTTGAGTTTCCTGTCCCAGAGCCATAGTCAGGAAATTCTCTGAGCAGGGACTAATGTGCGTGTGGGTTCACTGTCTGGTGCTGCCTGTTGTCACATGTCTGTTTATTATATTTTGCCCAGTTTTCTGGCTGTTTGTGGCAGGAGGTCTTGATTCATCTTCTTATCTAAGGTTCCTGGCACACAGGCACTCCATATTTGTCACATGGGCAAGTCTGCACTTCCAGATGCTGTCCATTATTATTGCTCTCTATGGGGAGAATCTGTGGGGCCCCCATCAGCTGTTCCATCCCCTTCATTTCACTACATGGTTCCCTTCCTGAGGTGGCCATCAGTCCTCTGCCTCTCAGCACCAGCCCGCCTGGGTTCAACACAAGTCACATGAGCCAGGAGGACTGAACTAGCAGAACAAGGCTACCTAGGCTGGGATGTCTCTGGTCCAAGTGGCAGAGCAGGGACTGCCTCTTTCATTCCTTTGACACTCCCATTTCATGACACATTGACCATGCTTTGTAAATAAGCTGTCAAATGGATAACATTTAGTTTAATGATTAGTTCACATAGCTCCTCCTTCTGGATATTCTGATATTAAGTGTGTGGTTCACACAAGGGCAGGACTGGCACCTCCTGCCAGGCTCATAGGCTCAGAGTCTCAGGAAATCTTCTTTTGTTTTGTTTTGTAGTTTTCGTATCCACCCTCTAGTCTTAATCCCCACCAGAGGGAACATGTATCTCATAGAGGGTCTGTGGTCCTTAGGTACAAAGACTTGGTTCCAGTTTGTCTCTGGTGAGGACACCTCCTTTATCTCTGTGCCTCACACCCTTCTGCCACAAACACAAATCAAAACAACCTTCCTCCTCAAGCTCCCTCCTCTCCAGCTGGCCTGCTGGCTTCAGTACTGTCCTCTCCCCAGGTCCTATCCCTGCTTGAAGGAGGCAACAGAGTGGCAGTCACTGTGAGTGATGGTCTGGCTATCTGTCATCCCTGCCAGGGGCCACTGCCTCCTCCTGGAAGGGCACCTGGAGGCCAGCTCTCTTCACTCCTCTCAGCTGGCAAGCAAGGCCTAGCTCTGCAGGACCCAGAGTCTGATCTGCCCTTGACTGCTGTGCCTCTGAAGAAGGCAGCACCAGCAAGCTTGCCCATGTGCGGCCAGGAAAGCCCACAGCTCCAACCCGTGTGCCCTTGTAGGTCAGACAGGAATTTCCTCACAGCCTGGCTCCAGACTCAGGTCCTCCTTGCCCCAAGCTTTGGCATCAGATTCCCCAGGCTTCAATGCTAGCTATAAGTGACCTTGAGCAAGTTCTGTGAACTTCATTTTCCTTTTTGGGTAAATGAGGATAGCAGCAGTTTCTGCCTCATAAATGAGACAGTGCTTGTAATCAAAGCACTCGGCACAGTGCCTAGTACATAATAAGTGTTTGAAACTTGTTAGCCATTATTAATAGTATTATTAGTGTCGTTACCATTATATTAATGTCAGCCTCAGTGTAAGCCACTTTGCCATTCTCCCTGTTTTGTGGCTCACAAAGAGGCATTACTTTCCTCTAATTCAGGGGTTTAAGCTTTTTCCTAACAGTGAGGCCCCTGCAGAGGCCCTGGGTCCCGGTGGGACCAATGGGGTTCACTGCTCTTATACCACCATGCCTGCGACAAACTGGGCACCAGGCCTTCCCCATCTGGTCCTGGGCCAGGACCCCTGCTGCATGCCCTTCTCAGGGCTGTTCTGCTCACACAGACATACATCACCATTTGGGATGGGTGGGTAGTCCTCCAAAGCCACATGTGTACCCCAGGTGACACCAGGTAACAGCTGCTGCTGCAGCTGCCCTGCCTACTTCCTTGTTCCTCCATGCCACCTCATTAGTTCTCTGGTCATGTTCCAATCTCCAGAGAGACTGGCAGCAACTCTGAATGTCAGCCATGGAAGTAGCAGACAACAGCACCTCCCTGCTCCTGCTCTGGCTGCTGCCCTTGGCCACCCTGCAGCTCAGAGCAGCCTTTCCCTGTCACTCAGGCTCTCACCAGCAGAGAGATTAGCATTCAGACGAGCAAGGAAAAGCATCAGGGCAACCAGCTCCTGTCTTCCTCAGAATCTGAGATTTATTTGGGAAGTAGAGCCCCAGAGAGGTTGAGACAGTTCTGGATGCACAGAGGACATGGTGGTCCTCTCTGGTCCAGGCTTACTAGGAGCTCCACCCACCCCAACAGTCCCACCCTCTGTCCTCCTCCATTTCGTTTCGAACTTGCCCATTGCTCAGTACTGCGTATGAGGAGAGACAGGGAAGGAAGAGCCATGGGGTGAGGAGGGGAGGAACCCGGACTGCTCTGAATCTACCATGTGCAGTGGTTTACAGTTCACAACCACACTAGCTTACGTACATGGAACACAAGTGTGCTAAGCACTTCACACACATTGTCTAACCCTCACAATAACTCTCAGAGGCAGGTACTACTATCTTTATCTTATAGATGAGGAAACTGAGGCACAGAGTCCTGCTGTAACCTTCCCGAGGCCACAGAGGGAGGAAGAGCATCAGAGTCAAGGTTCAGAACCAGGGGCTCAGATCTGGACTTCTTGCTCCCAGATCTTTTCTTATTACTTGGTCAGGGCCAGCACCTGGCTCTTCACCTCAGCTGTCTCTAGTTGCTTGGAGCTCCCTCTCTAAACATTCCTACTCCCACTTCCAAGCAGAGGTTCTTTTCAAGGGAATGGGACTTGGCCTCTGTGGGGACAGCATCATGGTCAGGATTTAAAAGGTCCAGCCTCAACCCAAGCTTCACACCCAGCCTAGGATGGGAGCCAGTTGTACGAGGAGCAGTGCCTGGTCCCGGGAGCCTCCTGTAGAGGAGTCCTAGGCTGAGGGAGGCAACTTTCTGCAGCAGGAGCTGCAAGTGTGCAGATTGTGCAGACAGCCAGGGGCGGGAGAGGCCCCGGGAATAAGAGGCGAGCGTAGGCTGGGTGTGCGGGGAAGGTGTAAACACAATCTGCTCCCACCAAAGCCAGCCTGCTCCCTGGGGGAGAGAGCCCCTCCTTCCCAGCCCACATGGCGCCCCAGCTGCCAGGGCCCAGGCAACCTCCAAGCCCAGGCATTCACCTCGCCCATTCTGCCAGCAGCCCCTTCCTCTCTTTCCCACCCTTAATCTGGAATGGATCCTTGGAGGAACCACCATCTACTCCACAGGCTCATAGACAGTACTGCAAAGGGGTACCGCCCTGTGGGAATGTGTCTGGGCCTGGAGCCAGCCCTGGTGCTACTCCATGACCTTGGCTTGACAATTCTTCAGACCACTGGAAAGAGGCAGGCAATGTGGAAATGGCAGAGCACAGGGAAGAACGAGGTGACAGGAACATGGCAGAAAGATTAGAGAATGAATGCAAAAGATGAGATCAGGGAACACAGACGGGTCCTGGGAACGGCGCCCTCTGGACCTCAGCCTGGCAGTCCTGTCACCAGGAAGACTCATGCCTCCCAGAAGAAAGACAGGCTGACAGGAGTTGAGACAGGTGGCCCAGAGCTCAAGGCCTGGGTCAGACGGGCACTCTGGCTCTGGCAGCCTCCTTCCCCTGGTGTGACCTTCCTCTGCCTCCTGCCTGCCCTACTTTGAGAGGCTCCCATGGAACCTCTTGCGCACACCCCAGCCAGGCTCCCTGCAGCATCAGCAGGCCCCCCCAACAGGCGGCCGCCTCCTCCTCCAGCACCTCAGAGTGGCTTCCCTCTCAGCAGCAGCATCTCTCACCCTCTCCCTTTGCCTCAGATATGAAGCTGCTACTCCTCCACCTCCTCCTGAAAGCCAAGGGCAGGGCTCAGCCAGGCATGGCTTCTGGACCAGCAGTGGGGAGCTGGCTGGGGAGAAGATGCTTGCATTGGGTTGGGGGTGTGCTTTTGAAGATTAACGGCTGTGAGACAGTTGGGAGCAGCTGCCTGCAGGGTCTGCGCCTGGATCTGGGAGCAGAAGCGGAAATCTGCTTTTATCTCTGCTCCGGATCAGGCAGGGCTGTAAAGAGGGAGAAATGGCAGAGCAGCTGGGGGCAAAGGAGGCCGCACCATTACTGAGCAGTCAGCACATTGACGAAAACAAGCATCATGCTTTCTGCCTTCCCACATGCTACTGCCTATTTGGAACACATGCGCGCGCGCACACACACACACACAGAAGACACATTCAGAAGACAAGCTGGTAGCTGCCCCCATCCAGCTGCAGGCAGACATGCCACGGAGCCAACCAGCCTTGCTAATTGATCATTTCAGCAGAGCAGCCCATGACAGGGTGAACTCTGGGGACTGGGAAGAGGCAGATGCCATGGGAAGTAAGTGCCACCATGACAGACTGACACCAGCACAGCCCTAGACCACAAGTCTGTTAACAGAATAGCTCCTGAGCTGGCAAAGGCAGACAACCGGACCAAAAGAACCCTGCTTTGGCCAAGCAGCTATGAACTAATAGGTTCTGTGGCCTTGAGGTGATTCTTGAGTCCCCTGTTTTAACATCTAGGCAATGTTAGGCAAATTATTTAACCTGTGTGTTTCCTCATTTATAAAATATGGAAAGAGGGGCTGGGGTTGTGGCCCAGAGGTAGAGCACTGGCCTAGTATGCATGAGGCACTGGTTTCTATCCTCAGCAGCACATAAAAATAAAATAGAGATATTGTGTCCACCTATAACTAAAAAATAAATATTTTAAAAATATGGAAAGAAAGAAAACAGTATCCATGGGTTATGGTGAGGATTGAATTAGCAAATGAACGGAAGCCCTTGATGTGTGAATATAAGCTGTCAGCCATCCCTTGATTCTAGAGTAGATCTCCACTTGTCCCTGCCTCTTGCCTGGGCTGTTGGACTGCCCTAGAATTAACCTGGTAGACCCCAGCAAGCCTCCCTCTCTGGGGCTTTTCAGGCTCCACAGTTCTCAGAGGAGGCTCAGGAACTCAGCAGGAAGGGAAGCCAAGAGCAGGGAGAATCTCCATTCTTTCTGCCAGCCTCATCAGGCCTTGCTCAGGAGGCCCACAGCCAGGCCCCATCAGGGGCTCAAAGCAAGAACTTACCTTCTCCATCACTGCTTCTGCCATCTCTCCCTTGCTGCTGCTTCTGACCCCGCAGCATCCTTCATGGCTAGGGGCCGAACCAGGACTTGAGCTGCAACAAAAGCCAAAGCCAATCTGCACTTTCTGCCATACTCAGAGACAGGACTTGTATTTCAGTGTGGACATCCCAGAGCATGGTCTTTCCCTTAGAAAGCATGACCCCCCACCTCATCCCCAGGCCTAGAAAATGAGTCAGAACCATGGCCAGTTCTCTTCAACTTTTGCCCCATGTCTGGAAGGGAACAGGTTCAAGACGGGATTTGAATGAAGGAGCGACCCTCCTGCTCAGCCTCCTTCTGGGACCTCAGAGCTGGAAACGGCCTGCTGTGCTCCCACTCGGCCCACCCTTGCATATTTCTTCTTCCTTGTCCCCAGCCCTGCCCTCTGCCCTCCAGACCTCTGGACTCTGCCCTACCTGCCTGTGCCAGGTGATCCCAGTTCCGGGAGCAGAGCCCCAAATGATGAGGGGAGGGATTATTTCAGATGCTCCTTCTCCCTGAACAGAGGAAAGCACTAGAGTCAGAGTATCGAAAGGGATGAACTTCCTATGTTTCTGGTTCCCCTTTTCCTCCTACTCCCATGCCCAGCATTAATGGACAGTAGCATCTGAAAAACAACTTGGGATTTATGATTGTGGAATTAGAAGATAGACTTCACCCCTGTGCCACTCCCAGCCAGCCCTTTGCGGCAGCCATCATCAGCAAGTGGTTCCTCTATGTCAGTCTGACCTTCCCAGGTAACTAGGTCCCAACGAGTTAATAGGCAACTGCTTCCTTCTGCCTGAGTCACACATACACCAGGCTAGCCAGGCCAGATGGTCCTCAGATTTGGCCTTTCCTAGCCTGCCAGGAGGTCCAGGCCCATTTCATGTGGAAGAGACTGACTGCCTGGAAGTCAGGGGCCGGATGGTCCCCAATCAGTTACAAATTAGATAGACAATCTTGAGCAAGTTCTTCAGATTTTGCTCGGTTTCCTCAACCATTAACAAGAGATTTTTAAAACATGTCCTGCCAACCCTCTGACCAGTGTTGGGATTACTGAGACTTCTAAGTGAGGGACTATGTGAAACAAAAACTTCACAACCAGTGTTATTAACCCTAGTTTACAAGAAATAAAGTGATTATATAACTTGTCCAAAGTCTCTTAGGTAGTAAGAAGGGAGCCAGGACTCCTGCTGCCCAAAACTCCATACTCTAAACTCAGCAAGAGGCTTAGTCAGCATCTGAGTGCCTCTTTCATATGAGACCTGGTGATGCACTCAATGTGTATCAGCCCAGTTAACTAGCAGTATCGACCAGGCACCATTATGATCTCAGCTAGCTGTGGAGCCAGGAAGGGTGTTACAGAAATGGCTATTTCTCATATGTGTCAGGGCCTCCCATGGGCTTTCTGACTCCAAATATGGGAGAATCCTATGACTGAGATGACAGGAGATAACAGGTTCCCTGTCCAGACAGAGACATTGAGGACCACTGGCAGGCCACCTGATATACATGGAGGATCACTGGCAGATACCCTCCTACCAGTGAGCTCTGGCACCCAAGTACTTGATAGGATCTTTTGTGCCCTTTGTTTTACTAGAAGTGAGAGTCACTCTTTAGAGAGGTCGCCCATGCTGGGCAGGGGTGGGGTGGGAATGGGGAGTGGCTCAAAGGCAGATAAAGAATCTCTTATGCATAGATACATTAAGTTACTAGTTGACCTTTTTTTTTTTAGTGTTTTCTTTATCACAGGAGCCCCTGTCATCAAAAGACACTGGTCATCCAGGGAAGGAAAAGTCTAGAAGTGCCCACAACCTTGCCCCCTAAAGGCCACAAGGATTCAGTCCAGGGAAGAGTTAACTTTCTGGCCACTGGAGACAGCGTCCTGCCCGCAGGGGCTGCCCAACCAATGGCACTCAATGCTGATGATGTCATGCTCCTTCTGCGCCTTCTATTGGGGACTGGACAGCGAATCCTGCTGGAGGTTCAGGCTGTGGAGCTACTGAGGCGGGTGGGCGGAGGCAGAGGGAGACAGAGGGGGAGGGAAGGGCAAGGCTAGGCTGCAAAGCTACACAGAGCGGCTTTGGCCTCCTCCCTCTCCCCTTCCCTGCGCCTTCCTTGAAGGTGCTCCTGGGCACTGCCCCGGTTAGCACTAACACTGGGAGAAGCAAAGCAGCAGTTTGGTCCAGAAGAGGGGGCTGGGGGCTCCCACTGCTACCTGGTGAAATAGGGAACAGGTGACCAAGGTGAAGGCCAGAATTACTAAAGTGTGAGCACCCACACACACTCACTCACAGCCGCAGGCACACACAGCAAAAGCTTCTTTGGGCAGCACCCTCCCTCCTCTACCCTTGACTCCCTTCAGCTTCACCTGCCCGAGGACTGGAGGTCTGTGTCCCTGCTGCTTCCCATAACAGTCCCATCCACTCTGCTGGAGTCTCTGTGGGAGGGAAGAGCAGACAGGAAGAGCTGTGAGCTGTGCCCAGCTCCCTGCTCTGAGTGACTCTCAGATCCCCTGCCCAACCTGCTGGAGGTCACTTTCAGCCCCTGCCCACCTTCAGCTTTGCTGTGGCCCAGGCCAGCAACCACCACCACCACCACCACCCCTCCCCCTCGTCCCAAGGCACACCCCAACCCACAGCCCAATCAGTTTCTCACGGTTGGACCCGGTTGGCAAATCGGCGGCGCCAGAGCATAGCCAAGGTGCTGAGCAGGAAGAGAGTGGTGCACATGGTTCAGCTGCCCCATCCCCCCAGACGGAGGCTGCAGAAGAAGGCCACAGGCAAGGGACCACAGTGGCCCTGGCCAGTTCTCACAAACTGCTGCCCTCTGTCCTGAGGCTCCTGCTGGAGATGGATTAGAAGGATCAAGCTGATTAGTGGAGTCAGCAGCCCTGACCTTGTGAAGACTGATTAACCTCACTGGACCCAAGATCTCCCCTTCAGTGGTAGGGCAAGTCCACCTTCTTGGAAATGTGTACAGTGGCACTGAACACCTATCTGGAATGTAGATTCCATATACCTGGGCCTCACCCTCAGGGGCTGATGGTCTAGACAGATGTGCTGTCCAGTTAAGCAGCTGGCTGCAACACAGTGACTTAGGCACGATGAAATATGGCTACGGAGCACTCTGGGAGTTGCGGGTACCAGGAAAGCTTTAGAGAGGAGCCGGAGGATCTGAAGTCGCAGGTGCTCAGGAAGGACCTCAGAAGACTCTGCCCAGACTGCTGACAAGAAAGTAGCAGCATCTTCCAGGAGATGAAGTGGAGCACAGAGGAGGCACCAGGAGAAGAGAAGAATATTTAAATGACGCTAGAAAGACCAGGCAAAGCAGAGAGGAAAGGGCTGACTCTGCCCCACCCTCCAGATAACCTTCTCTGAACTTTTCTGATTATACACCCTCCTCAGAAAAAGGCAGAATTTAAGATACAGATTATAAATTCTATCTTATATAACTACCTTATATAATTTAGATATAAAATTTAAACTTATAAATTACATACTACTGCACAAATACATTCCTACACCTTAAGACATATATAGAATTTGTGAAGGATGAAATGAAAATCAATAAGACTCCTCTTAAAGTCTGTCCTCCTTGGGGAGCTGCTTGGGAAAGTCTCCACACCAGCTGTGGGTACAATCAAGGGAGTTTGGTGTGTGTCCTTCATGGAGCAAGTCATGGCAGGGCTGGGACATAGTATGAGAGTAAGGTGAGGACCTTACCACCCACCCCACTTCACCTCATCCAAGATGGCGGAAAGCATGAGATTTTTCTTCCCTTAACTGAGGTGGGGGTAGTGTCAGCCTACTCCTGCTGAGTCCCATCAAACACCTGAACCCTGGATCCCAAGGAGGAGTCAGGCTGGCCCTCTGCCTACCTAGGTTACTGCTTCCCTTAGTTCTGGACTTTGAAATTGGATTTTTAAAAATTAAGTCAGGAATCAAAAGTTGAAGAGGAGAGCTACCCCCGGTCATGCTTGGGCAATGAAACACCAATATCTGAACAGAGTAAGGATGACCAGGGAGTCTTAAGGAAAACTGGAGATATTCCACATGTAGTGTGACATTTGTAGACAATTGCAAGCCCTGTGTGGCCTCAGGCTTCCACTGGGAGTCAGAGGTGAGGCATGCTATCCCCAATACTGAGCAACTGCTGGACAGGGCTTTGGGTCTCAGGAGCACAGTGCCCACCTCTGGCCCAATCTCACACCTCCCTGAGCAGTCCAACAGGGTGAAGGGTTTGTCTCCCCAACCTCCAGAACTGGGACCTTGGTGATCCTGAGATATCTTCAGTGGCCTGGACCTTTCTCAAGACTTTTTTTTTTTTTTTTAATAGTTGTAGATGGACAGCATGCCTTTATTTGTTTAGTTTTTATGCTGTGCTAAAGATCGAACCCAGTTAGCCCCAGCCCTCTCAAGACTTTTTGACCCCTATGTCCCTTCTGCCATACCTGGCTGCTTCTTCCTCAGACTTCACTCCGACACGGCCAGGGCTAGAATTCAAGGCAGCGCCTGGTTCTTTCCTACCAGTATCATTAATAAGCCAACCACCTACTTCTTTCAGCCACGTGCGCGCGTGCACCAAGGGAGATGGGGTTTCAACCAGAAGAAAGAGGGGCGCAGGCCTTTGGGACCCAAGACTGGAGGTGTGCTCAAGTTCCCGGAGGCGGCAGATCGGTGGGGCTTCGACCCTGTTCTAAACCTGCCAGAGCCTGGGAGTCCCAGGCTCTGCGAGTGGCGACTCGGGAGCCAACAGCGCCAGCGGGAGCGAGTCTGCCCGCGATAGGGCTCGCGTTCGCCCCCTCGGACCGGCGACTGGCAGACACGCCGCAAATCCCTGGGAGTGTTTGACTTTGAGACAGTTCCCCGCCACGTGAAAGGTGTCGGTACGCACTCGTCCCGTCATCGCGCGCAGTGGGAGCGGAGCACAGTGTACCCGGTCCGGCACCCGCCGGGGCGCACTCCTGTGCGGCCCGCGCAGCCCAGCGCCGCGTGACCGCCAGATCCTCCCGAGACCCCTCGGCACGTCGGCCACACCTACTTCTTGCCCCGCCCGGCGGGGACCGGCGGGGACCGCCGTGGCCTTGCGGGTGAGTGGGCGAACGGCGCTAGCCGCGTCGCCCGCACCCCGCCCAACCTTCACCTTGCCGGAATTGGCTCACCGACACAGGACTGGGGCTTCGGAGAAGATTTGTTTTTTTAAACATTTTTCCAGCAGACCACATCCCCGCCCCCCGCTCGCGGTCCCCCGCCCCCCGCACATATACCCTGCACACACACGCGCGCACACACACACACACACACACACACAGCGCACACAGGCACACACGCTCCCTCCCTCCGGCGCTCTACCCCTCGCTCGCCCGCCCGCCCGCCGCGCACGCAGCCGGCCCCGGCTCCCCGCGCCCCGCGCCCCGCGCCCTGCAGCCGCCGAGCGAAACCGGGCTGGGCTAGGAGCTGCTCATGGAGAAAGTGCCTGGCGAGATGGAGATTGAGCGCAGGGAGCGCAGCGAGGAGCTGTCCGAGGCGGAAAGGAAGGCGGTGCAGGCTACGTGGGCCCGGCTGTATGCCAACTGCGAGGACGTGGGGGTGGCCATCCTGGTGAGGTAGGTGTCGCCCCGGCCCGGCCGGGCCCTGGGCAGGGAGGGCAGCAGTGGCGCCGGCAGAGGCAGGCTCGACCGGGTCCAAGCTCGAGCGCCACCTCCCCAGCTGCGATGGGGGCCAGTGTGGGGCGGGCAGCGTGCAGCGCCCTGGGATGATCGAAACCGGGCTGAGCTCTTCCTGCAATTAGGAACCAGACGCAGGAGGGCACTTCAGTCCCCTTCCTCTCCCTGGCCTCAGCACTCCTCGCTCCACCGGTTTTCCTCCCCAGGGACCCCAGCCACCCAGACAACTATATGCACACACAAATGCCAGCCTCTCAAAGGGACAGCAGGGAAACTGAGGCTTAGCCAAGAGGGTTTCAGAGAGGAGAAGACCTCTCTCTGCAGCTCAGCCCCTCAGAGGAACCGAACCCAGAGCTGGAGAGTAGAGGTCAGAAGGAGTCCAGACAGTTTTCTCAGCTGCTTGCTTCCTGCCCCAAGGGGAAGGACAAGCAGAGAGCTAAAGTGAGGCTCAGGTGAGTGGGAAGTCACCAGTCCCCTAGAGTGCAGCCCCTGCTGAGTTTGGTACTTAAAACAAGAAGCTGCAGGAGACAGGGCCCCGCCCTGGAATCCCACAGCTAGGGAGGACATGGAGTGTCTGTGGGCTCAGGGTTCATTCATTCAGGCACCATGCCCCTGAGGGACCCCTATACTCCCAGAGTGGCACTACATTCTCACACCCATACAGGGGTGCACACACACCATTCCTTTAGAGTTGATGTCCCCAAGCTCCACAAGCTGAACACTGACCATAGCTACAGATCTAGACTCTATCCGCACATGCTGGTCCCTGGGGTGCAGGCAGAGAGGCCCAGACCACTCTTCTCAGCCCCCTGTTCTTGGCAGAAGAAAAGCTGTCAAATCTAGGACAGAGCACACCGCCTTGTTACATGAAGATGGGGCCAAACCTCACTCTGGAAGGAGAGCGCTAATGCATGTCTCTCCCAGTCCTGGCCCTGTCTCGGGCTCCTCTTCTCCCTCCTCTCTCTCCCTTCTGCCTCCCTCAAGCGGGGGACCTACCAAGCTCCATATTGTATACCCTGATTCCAACTTGGAAACAGATTTTGGAGGAAAAGAGCAAGAAACACTTCAGGGAAGTTGGAGATTCCTGAGGAAGGGGCTATTCCTCAGCTCCCAAGCCCAGGAGCCCAGCTGTGGTGGTGAGAAGTAAAGAGGAGGTTTGGGATCCTGAAGCCTCAGACACTCTGAAAGGAGCCACAGATTGGCATGTGCCAGCACCCACACAGCACACAGTGGGGAGCCGAGTCGCAGATGCGCCAGACTGTATCTCTCGGGAGGGCTGCTCTCAGCCATGTGTTGGCACACACAGCCCTCCGGGCCACTGACGCATCTGGATGTTCACATGGGTCACCCAGAGGAAACTAGGCAGGGCCCACAGGACTATGGAGGTTTTCTGTTCCAGGCTCTGCCATTGACCAGTGAGGGAACTCCCCAGGAATGGGGAGCAGGCGGAGAAAGGAACTGAGCCCAGAGGGCTCATGTTCTGGGTCATGTGAGCCCTTAGCATGGTAATTATTTCTCTCTGTACCCCCTCTGGGTGCCCATTCCTCACACTCAGGGGACTGGCCCAGCTGGGGGAGGTATTTATCAATATGTTCAGAGCCCAGACAGATGCCCCGACTGATTGGAGAAGGCCTGAGGTGGCCGTGAGGTTTGGCTTCCTGATGCCAGGGCCACACTCTGAGCCCACCCTGTGCTGTTGACTGGAGCTGGGCCTGGACAGCCAGCCATTTTCTGCCAGCTCCAAGTCTCATCAGCCTTCCTCTCCTTGTCTTCCTCCTGTTGCTGTTACCCCCGGGTCTGGCCAGTGGGGAGGAGCGGAAAGAGAGCAAGGACAAGTCTCATTCGCTTCTCAGGGTTCCCGGAGCCCCTGCTCAGATCCTGCCCGTGACCATCTTCACACACACAACACGTAAATCCACAGGAGTGGCTTCAGTGAGAGCCCTGGACGCTGACCCTCTGGCCAGCACTCTTACCTCCTCCCCTGCTGCCCATTGCCCATCTGCCTTGGGGGCAAGGCAGAGGCAAAGCACCTCCACACCCCCCTTGAGAAGGTGGCTGGAGGGTTGGTGATGGAGGAAGAGCTGACTTGGGGCCTGAGGCAGACACACTTCCACTCCCTGCAAGGGAAGGGACCAGAGGGAACACCCACCCTCCCTCCTGGTTGTAACGTTGACACCTTCCCCCTCACACTCCGAGGAGCCTATTTCAGGCTCTGGAAGCCCAGATGCCTCTGTAGCTGAGAAACTCCCCAAGGCTGGTTGTGAGGCTTCTCCCTGGCAGCACAGGCCAGTCTGGGAGGGTCAGGAGGAAACACGGGGTCTGGAGAGTGAAGCTGGGAATCAGGAGCAGAGTTGGCATCCCCGGACTCTCCTGGCCCAGAGCCCTGCTTCTGGGGGACTGTTGTTCCCCAAAACCACAACACAGCCCCGTGTTAGGCAGGAGATTCTTCTGGTCCCAGGCCAAGAGCCCCCCCACCCAGCAGTGTCCCCAGGCACTCTGCAGAAGCCAGAAAAATCTAGCTCCTTCCTGGTCCCACCACCCACCTTATTGGGCAGCCTTGGGCATCGATCCCTAGCCCATCAGACAGGAATAAAAATAGTGCCAACCTCAGGAGGGAAC